CTTGTTCTCTTAATCACTTACTGGCATATTTGTTTGCCAAACTGTGACCCTGAGGCATTTCTCCTGTGACTGACTTAGAGATTTGGCCACTCTGAGAGGTCAAGCTTTGTGGAGGTCACAGCGCTGGGAGGGGACGTTGATGTCCATGTTGTCTTCCACACACAGACGATCCCCCTGCTCAACCACTGTTTGTGCCTGACGACAGGGTTACAGCCACCCTGACTGGCCTGATGGCGTTCATTGGCCAGCCTGCAGGCAGTGAGCTCAGGGCTCATGTGTCCACTGCCACAGTTGGATGTAGTGTCTGCTTAGGGTCTTGGACCAGGAGAGAGGGCGCTGATTTGGGGAGAGAAAAGGAGTTCGGGAAGGGCTGGGAGTAGGTTGGTAACTGGAGGCAGAAAGAAGTCAGTGGTGCGGAGCCCAGGTGGCACGCTGGCTGCGGGCGGACAGGTTGGAGAGTTGAAATGATCATCCAGTTGGGGGAAACAGTGACCTGTTCCTGCGGGGTCAGCCTGGGAATCATCTGAGCACTGCGTCTGCCCTTTAGGGTGACGAGAAGTCCGAATCAGCTGGCTGGCAGAGGACAGCTCGGCCACTTTGAGGAACAGGATGAGGTGGGCACTGGGCCTGGGTCTAGGCGTGCTCTGCCTGAGCTCTTGGGGTCCTGGTAAACCCTGTGACTGCACTGAGCTTTCTCGTCACCATCTGTTTGTGAAAGGTGGGACCGGACCAAGGGATCCCTAGGAGCCCTTCGGGTTTGAGAACTGACTGTTCTAGGGGTGTCCAACCCAAGAGGACAGGCCTCTTCAGGGGACTGGACCTTGAAAATGAGCACAGAACCACGTCACATCAGGTGGCACAGGGTCACCATGAGCCAAGTCTACCGAGGGAGCAAACGGCAGCAACCCACAGTTCCTGTTCTGAGTCAGCTGTGCCTGGAATTGCGAAGTCTGACCAAGATCAAGCCACTTACCTTCCTGGAGCTGCAGGATTTGGTGGTTTTTTTGGTTTTTTGTGGTTTGTTTTGTTTTTCAGGGGAAGCAAGTTTCATGGCTGCTGTGATGCGTGGGCACAAAATTGTGGAGGGTGGGTGTGAGGGCAGGGGAGTGTGGAGGGTGGGCATGTAGGTGCTCAGGGCAGACCGGCCCCAAGCCGATGGAGACCAGAATCAGGGGTGTGGCCAGCCCAGTGTGTCGCCCACTGGCATCGCCGAGTAAGTCTCTGGAGGTGGTCTCGCTGACAGCTGGACCCTCTTTGTTACACAGGACGTGCCGACAGCACTTGGCACAAAGGGATGGGTGGGTGGGCTTCTCCAGGAGGACCCTCTGGGGTTGCAAATTTGTCGCAGGGTACTCAGTGATGGGGCAGTACGCTGAGCACTGCCTGGAGACTGTGTAGACTCAAGCGAAGACCTTTGGAAAGGTGGTGGGTCGGCAAAAAAGAGGAAGACTGTCAGACTGTCAGCCAGATGGACGGTACAGTGACGGTGGCAACAGATCGAGCAGGACAGGGATGACGGGGACGGCACTGGACACGGTTGGGTTCAGATCTGTTGTTCACAGGGTCGATGTGAATCATACTCCACTTAACAGCATCATGGGTTCCTTCTGAAAATCAGCTTCAGCGTTTTTTAATCTGTAAAATGGGGTAAAAGTCTTGGCCATAGGTGACACTATATGAGAATACTTGAAAAGAATTCTGTAAATATTAGATTTGATAAAAGTGCTACAGCTGTGAGTTAGATGCTGGAGAGGAATACAGGGTCTCCCGTGGACTGCGAAAATGAGCAGACATGTGTTGGAATCAGTGCAGCTAGAGCGCTCCTTGGAGGCGAGAGTGGTGAAACTTCGTCTCCCATACTGTGGACATGTTGTTAGGAGAGGCTGTTCCTTGGAAAGGGGACATCGTGCTTGGAAAAGGTGAGGGTCAGCCAACGAGAGGTGACCTCCAATCAGGTGGCTTGGCAGTGATTATAGCAGTGGGCTCCAGCGGTCAGAGACTGCGAGGACGGCACAGGACAGGACAGGGCTCACACCTGCTGTTCACAGGGTCTCTATGAGTTGTGCTTGGCTCAGCAACACTTAACAACGACACCGTGGGAGTGTGAACATTCAAGTTCCGCAGAGTTTCAGTGAATGACACATCAGGGAGGTAAACCTTCCTCATAAATGGTTGGGAGAAACCAAGGTTCTCATCTTTAGACAGAGCAGGAATCACAGGCCTGCAGCACGGGAGCCACTGCCACGTTCTGTATCGAGTGAAACAAGATGGGCCGAATCAGCAGGGGCTTCTGGGGCTCAGTGCTCAGATCACGACTGGACGTGCAATGTGCAAGGCTGCCGGCTGGATGCACAGATGTGCAGGGGTGCTGACTGGACGTGCAGGGCCGCTGACTGAATGTGCAAATGTGCAGGGGTGCTGACTGGACGAGCAGGGCCGCCGACTGGACGTGCAGACGTGCAGGGGTGTTGACTGCTCTGAGAAGCCCACAAAGCTCAGCAAGTTCTTCTTAATTAATGAACCCAGATTTGGAAAGCTGCTTGACTTTAGTTTATTAGAACTATAACACTGCAAAATTGACTGGCAAAAACAACAGTCCTCCTGTTTTTATAGCGCCTTATCTTACACCGAGAGATTTTACAGAATTGTTACAGCATCCCTTGTTGCTGTTATGTACTGTCAAGTTGGAACTGACTAATCATTGACTTTCCAGCAGGTTTTCAGAGACAGTAATCATGCAGGAGATTACCCATTCTCCTCTCACAGAGCAGCTGGTGGATTCAGCCTGTGGGTTGACAGTGTCACTTGTTACCACTAGGCCACCAGAGCTCCACAGGGACGGGTAGATATTACTGCTGTCTCCTAGACAAAAACACTGAGGCTTAGAGAAATAGCTTGTCCATTGTCACAACTGGTCCTCATCAGGTTAACATGCCTTGAGCCTCGGGGAAAGGATGGGCTTCTAGAAAACTTTGCTGTGTGCAAACTTCTTCCATGCTTATTAACTCGTCAGCAGTCTGCATTGCGCAGATGACACAGCCTTGCTTGCAGTGAGTGAAGGGGCTTGAGGCACTTGCTGAAGAAGCAAAAAGATTATACCCTCCAGGGTGGGTTTCATCTCAGCATCGACTCAGTGCAAACCCTCTTCATTAGATCAATAGGCGACCTTGTGCTAAGGGAAGAAACATTACAATTTTCAACGACTTCATTTTTTTTTTGATCCACACACACTTGGAAGCAGCAGCCAGGGTATCAGAAGACACACTGCATTGGGCGGACCTCCTCCAAAAGGCCTACGGTGTCCCTTTTGAGGACTAAGGTGTGCTGACCCGAGCCGTGGCCTTTTCAGCCTCCTCATGCACAAGTCAAAGCTGGACAATGAATGAGGAAGATGGAAGATAAAGAATCTTAGGCGAGATTGGTGCTGTCAAAGAATTTCTGCTTTCTCGTGGACCACCTAAAGGAGGTGCAAATCTGTCTTTGAAGATGCACCCAGAGTGCTGCTTCAGGACAAGGCTCTGTGACCGTGGTGGGGACACAGCGTCAGGAGGGACCAGCCCTGCAGAAAGATACTGTGATGGGAACGTCAGTGAGAAAGGAGGAGACCCTCCTGCAGTGGATTGGTCTGTGGTTGCAACAGTGGGTTCAGGCGAAGCAAAGGTTGTGCCGGTGGCAGGGCAGGGCTTCGTTGTGCTGTTCTCAGGGCTTCCTTCTGAGCCAGAGTCTACTCAACAGCAACAGCATAAGCAGGTATTAGCCCATTTTATAGATGAGAAAACTGAGCATCAGAAGAGGTAAAAGTTCAGTGTTCCAGAGGAAGATATTTGGATGGCCAACAGACACATGAAGGAATGCTCAAAATCACTGGCAACAAGAGAGATGCAAATCAAAACCACAATGAGATACCATCTCACCCCAGTAGCAGTGGCAGAGTTTAACAGGACAGCAAGTAATAAACGTCGGAGAGGGTGTGGTGAGATCGGAATGCTTATACACTGTTGGTGGGATTGTGCAGTGGTACAACACTGTGGAAGGCAGTTTGGCGCATCCTCCGAAAGCCAAACATAGAAATTCCATGTGACCCAGCTATTCCACTGCTTGGAATACACCCCAAGAAAATGAGAACTGAGGCACAAACAGAGACTTGTACACTATTGCTCATAGCAGCATTATTCACCATCTCAAGAACATGGAAACAGCCCAGATGTCCAACTGCAATCGAATGGATTGAGAAATATGGTACATTCACATGATGCAATACTAAGCAGCCCACAGGAGCCATGATTTTGTTAGTTACTACCTAATATAGGAGGGACTGGAGAGCATGATGCTGAGTGAACTCAGTCCCACAGGACAAACACTGTGTAAAACCTTTAGAGTAGAATGAGTATGAGGATCCGGGGAGCGAGAGGGTGGAAGCAGAGGGGTGAGGATGGATGGGGAGGGGAGGTTAATCATAGGACCATTCAATTTGATGGGAGGTGGGCGAAGGAAATGAGAAAGATTTGATGTGAAAAAAAAATGTATTCTAACTTTGAAAATAAACAGGAATAAAAAAAAAATTGGAGGGTCATTACGAGGCCACCCAATTGAAAAAAAAAAAGTCCTGTTTTCAAGATTGGCAGCTTGGCAGTGACCAAGCCAGTATTTCAGGCTCACAGTGTTGCTCTGGACTTTCCCAGCGTTCCTTCGGTGGACTCTGCTGGGCCTGGCGCTGAGCCTGCGGTGCTCTGGGCCCAAGACTACCCTGTCTGCAGCGCACTGTCTACTTCCTGTTGAAGACCTGGTCAGTGCTCTCGTGCTTTGAGATAGAGAGATGTCCACATTGTTCACCACTCTGATCTGTGCGAGGTGACCCAAAGGCTTTCTAAAAATTCTATTTGTCTATTGTAAAAGTTTCACAATAGAGGAAACGAGAAAAAAGGAACAAATCACCTGGCAGTCACTGAAGATAAGCAGATCAAATTTGACTGATGATCTCATTCTCTCTGTATGTGCAGGTAAAGACATACAAGAGTAATGCCGCAGCTGTGTTTATCGATGGGTAGGTCCTGACTGGGGGCTGAGCACCTTCCCATGCATTTGTCATTGATCAACCTGTCTTCTCTCTGTCTCACACAATCACATGTATGTGCTTACACACACTTCTCTTCTCTTCTCTTCTCTTCTCTTCTCTTCTCTTCTCTTCTCTTCTCTTCTCTTCTCTTCTCTTCTCTTCTCTTCTCTTCTCTCCTTTGACATAAGTCATGTTGCTCCATCTACTGAGAAGCAAGCCAGTGTTTAGATGGGGAATGTCTGGTCGTGATGAGGCTGTACATATAACCACTGCTCTGTTGTCTGGCATCTGTATAAAATTGTGACATATGATAATGAGAAAATACTCTCCATGCCTCCCTGTGAACGGATTCTTTGATTTGTGGAGTAGTGTATAACAGTCCTCTGTAATGTTTTGATTCAGCAGTGGAGTATAGCGCTTGGAGGTCAGTTTACACGTCAAATGACTATTTAATACGTCATGTCCTGTATTTGGTCCCTGTGTTCCAGGTTTTTGCCATCTTGATTCCTAACTGGAATGGGCCTCTTTTGTTCTGGGGGTTAAGTTGTTAGGCAGGGTCACGTGTGTATTGGATATATACAGGCTCCGGGGTCAGGCTGCCTGAGTTTGAATGTCATCAGCTTGGCCATTTTTTCTGTCAGCTTGGTCACATTACTCCACCTCTCTTGCCTCAGTTTCTCTGTCTGTAAATTGGGGACATAATGGAACCTGACCCTCCAGCCAAGAGCCCCTGATGGTGCAGTGCTTTCCATGTTGGGTCTGCTAGCCAGAAGGTCAGTGGTTTGAAGCCACTGTTCCTCAGGAGAAGGTTCAGGCGTTCTGTTCCCTTCAGGATTCACAGTCCGGAGCAGTTCTGCCCCTGTCAGGAATCCCAGCCTCTGACTGCTCTGTCCTGCAGGGCCGCTGTGAGTCAGAACCACTGACCTTCCGATGAGCAGGGCTCCTTAATCCTACAGCAGCGCTTCTGAGAGGGAGGCCCTCAACCAGCTAGCAGGGTTACCTGGGAGCTTGTTAAAACATGAAAGCCCGTCCTGGACAGCAGCTGGGTCTTCCCTCCAACCAAAGAGATCTGGTGCTTTCCAGAGAGAGAGCCAACACTTTCGCTAGCTCCCAGCCTCCCCGGAACCTGCGGGGCACAGGGCCCTGGCCCTGTAGGCATGTGAGGGCCTGTCATCACTGCGTGTTTAGCCACATCCCTGGCCCCTGACCACTAGATGTCAGTAGCAGCCCTCACTCCAGTTGTCTCCAAACATCTAATAGCTGTGGTGCGGCTGAGCTGCCCCTGCTGAGAAGCGCTGGTGAGAGCAGGCAGTGGGCCTCAGACCTCGCCACGTCCCCTGGGGGCTTGCGACACAAGCTGCTGGTTCCAGCCTGCAGATTCCAGCCAGTGAGTGGACCAACGGGCTTCATCTTTAACAAGCTCCCAGGTGACACTGCTAGCTGGTTGAGGGCCTCACTCTCAGAAGCACTGGTGTAGGATTAAGAAGCCCTACTCATCAGAAGGTCAGTGGTTCTAATCCACCAGCTGCTCTGTGGGAGAAAGATGAACATTTCCCGCCTGTAAAGATTTCCAGGCTGAGAAAGCTGACGCAGAGCTGCTGTGAGTTACACGTAACGCGGTGCGTTCCATTGGGTCTGGCAGTGGGCTCAGTCTGGCTCAGAGGAAGAGGCTCTGGTGGCTCTGTGGTTAAGGCATTTAGCTGTTCACCCAGAGAATGGTGGTTCAAACCCAGCAGGCCCTCTGCAAGAGAAAAACATGGTGGTGTGCTTCTGTCGGATTTAGGGGTGTAGGGGGCCCCAGAGCATATGTGCTCTATGGGACTCAGGTCTCCCTCTGGGTTGTGACCTAGGGGTCGTGGAGGGAAAGCACTTAGAAACGGGGAGACCTCAGTCTGCTGCTGTGGGGCCCTCGCACGGTGTCATGTTTTTCTCCTTCTATGGGTAAAGTGAGATTGGACAAATGTTATTTTAGGCCTCTTAACCACATTAATAAGCCCTCCCCAAGTTCATGTTCCCTCGAAGTGCTGCAGCAACACTCAAGGTACGAGCCATTCCATACCTGCTCACCTGTCTGCAGGTACCTGCCCTTTTCAGCCCTTTCTCCACCTTTCCTCACGGGTTTGCCATGGGGTCCGGGGAGGTGGTGTCACAGCAGAGCTGAACAGCTCGAGGACAAAGCTTCCAGGATCATCTAGTGCGCGGGTTTGCCTGTCAGTGAGACAGGATCCTTTAAGGACCCGCAGCTCCGTGTAGTGAGCTCCTGACCACTGTGTGCTGTCCCCAGGAGGGGTGTAGCCACTGAGTCCCCTGACTGTTCGTTGAGGCCCCGGCTTGTGGGGTAGGTGTAGGGCCTGTTGTAAGGAGGCAACAAGCATCACAAGTCTCAGGAGAGGCGGTGCAGTGGAACCTTTCTGGAAACTAAGGAGCAGTGCTATTTTGGAGAAGGAAAAAGACCACTTTTGTGCCTTTTAATAGGAAATCCGAAATAGAGCAGGCCTGGTTACCACGATGGGGGAGAAGTTGGTTTCCAGAGGGGACAGAAGGCCGTCCTCTAACACAGACCTTCTCAGATGGCAGCTACCTTCGGCACAGATTCCTTTGATTTCTTTATCATAACCTCCGCTTTCCCTCTCGGGAGCTCTGGTGACGGTCCATTGAAGGCCGGGCCTCTGGAAGTTCACAGTCACCTGTGGCTCCAAGGGAGACAGCCGGGCAACCACCTGCCCTGTGATTTCCAGCCTCAGAAACCCCACCAGAGGGTCCGCTATGCGTCGGTTGTGATTTGACGGGAATGAGAGTTTGAATGCCTCCGGTCAGAACATGTATGAAATGAGAGTTTTCCTCTTCGTGCTAATAGAATAGAAAGAGGTTGTGTGTTCAGGATTGGTGCTGAGATTTGGAGCTATAATTGTTCCAAAAAGGGTGTACTATACCCTTTGGAGAAGACGCCTGCTTATCATGTGGACTGTGTGTTGGAGAAAGTTCCACCAGAATGTTCCATGAACTCAAACACCGTGAAGCTTCATCCCATATCCTTTGGACACGTCGTTAGGAGAGGCTGTTCCTTGTGGAGGGACGTCATGCTTGGAAGAGGGAAGGGCCAGCAAGGGAGAGGAAGACCCTCAATGAGATGGATTAATACAATGTCTGCAGCCATGAACTTAAAGGGTGGAGGGTGTTGAGAATGGTGCAGGATAGGACAGAGTTCAGATCTGCTGTTCCTGGTAACCGTGAGTCATATTCACTCAATGAGACAAAACAACCACAGCTCGCTCTGAGAGGAAGCTCTGCTGGTGAAACCCGTGGGCACTTGCACTGGTGATTAGGACAGCACCCTCTGCAAGGCAAATCCGTCCGTGGCTCCATGGCAGAGAGGTCCCCTCCCATGCTGTTTACATGGTTGCCTCATGATGTGCCATCGAGTCACTGTGTCTGTCTGTCTCATCCAGGGGCTTCCTTTCTTGCACTTCCAAGTATGCACTGTCCCTGCCTCACAACATGCCAAAGAATGTGACACAGAGCTCCAGAATCCTTGCCTCCAAGGAGCAAATTGTTTCATCCTCTCTAGGATAGACCTGTTTGTTCTCCCCCCCGCCCCAAATTATAAAGAAGTTACGTTTATTACATTTGAAACAACTATTCTCTTGGCGGTCCATGGCTCAGGACTCCTCCAGCACCGCAACTCAAAGGCATCGACTCGTCTCCTGTCATCCTTAGTCACTGTCCAGCTCTGATGCACAGCAAGCAGTTGTGAAGACCACGGCCTGGATCAGGTGCACCAGCCTCTGGACTGATGTCGTTGGCACTCTAGAGAGGTCCTTGATGGTAGATTTTCCCAGTGCAACTTGTGTTTTAATTTCCTGACTGCTGGTGCCAAGGGCGTTCCTTGTGGAGCCGAGCAAGCTGAAACTGCCTCAGTCAACAACCTCCATCTTTTCTCCATCAATTATGATGCTGCTTATTGGACTGGTGGGAAGGATCTTTGTTTTTTTGGTGGTGTTTTTTGCTTTGTTTTCTCGATGTTGGGATGCGATCCATACTGAAAGCTACAATCCTCAACTTTCTGCAGCAAATGTTTCAAGTCCCCCTCACTTGCGGTGAGTAGAGTTGTGTCATCTGAGTATCGCAGGTTGTTGAGTCTTCCTCCGTAATGGTCCGCCCTCCCGAATGATCTTTCCAGCATGTATATTGAAAAGGTATGCAGAAAGGATACATCCCTGAAGCTCTGCTTAGCCTCTCATCCATCTGCTGGAGGGTCAGCTGTAAGTTAGTTCTGACTTGATGGCAGTGAGTTTGAGGGGTTTTAAACTCCCTTCGAGGGCAATGTAGTGGAGTCTAACTTGAGACATTCGTATTTTACACTCATCCTTTACAACAGGTGTATCATGTATGGTTACATCCATATTGTGTACAGGTACACAGTACACTCTGGCGGCACAGTGCACATCATTTTGGGCTGCTAACTAAAAGATTGGAGGTTTGAATCTACCAGCCGCCCTGCTGGGAAAAGATGAGTCACCTTCTCCAGAGGTGAACAGGTGAGACACCTAACGCAGGTCACTCTGAGTCAGAATGGACTCCAGGTGGTGAGCTTTGTTTTATTTTCTGTTGGTTGGGCGTGTGCCCTCTGGCACTGTTACATTAGAAAGAAAAGACTTGATTTCATGCCTGTGAAGAACCTTCACAAATAAAGAGACTGTGAAAGAGGCAGAAGCAAAGCTGGATCAGATTAAAAAGAGCTGATTAGTCAGCCCACTGGCATGGATAACAGACTGGGTTTTGATATGGTAAGGATATTTTGGAAATGGTATCCACAACTCTGGGAAAGAACAAAAGGACTCTTGTGTGCCCTTGAGTAGATGAAAGAGCTTTTGTCTAGTAGGCTCACCTGTAGCAGGTGATGTTCCTGAGGAAGGCAGCCATAAAGTTAGATATTAACTTGGAGAAAACGGCTAAGTGAGCACTCATTTTTGTCTAGTAGAGATCTAAATTATTTCCGGTAGTAGAAAGATTACCCCAGAAGTCACAGTTTGATTGCTTCGTAAGCCATAAACCTGCTTTGTTTCTGTCCTTGTAAGTGCTCCGTTGTTCCTGTTTCTCCACCAGCCTCTGTCTGTCTGCAACAGCTTTTTTATTTATTACCTTTGAATCCGCTTTCTTGTTACTGGTTTTCTCATTAATAAATTAAAGAAGTTAATCTTTAAAGCCCTGTACTGGCATCCACCTCCTAAACAACTTGCCTCCGGAAACTCTGTGAACTTTGATGTCGATAGTTGTAGAGGGGCTTCAGGCCTTTTGTTCACGGGGTCGCTATGAGTCAGCAACAACTGTATAATTACACAGAAATCATGTTTTCTACTTTTTTAAAAAGACATAGTATTTTGACCAAAATGCGGATTCCACCCATATTGAGGTGTAAGTGTCTGAGAAGAGTCAGGAGCAGCTTTCGGCTACTTGAACTTGGTGGTCCTTTCAGCTCTGCGTTCCTGCAGTCATGGCTGTTTGTCTGTGTGTCCCTGGCCCCTTGGATAGTAACCTGCACTTAGCAATCATCATCTACTTATGCAGTTTTATGGGAAGAATTGTTTTCCTCCCAGAACACGTGCTGTCTATCCTCACCTGTGGAAAGAAGGCCAGGTAGAAATACGATTCTCTTTGTCATGTTAATAAGGCCATGGCAGATCGTAAGCCAGTCACTTTTGAGATTGTCCACGTACAGGCCCAGAAGCAAGCAAGCAAAACCAGAGAAGTTATGGAGGACAGACACCAGGGAGCTGAAGTCGGGATTTACCAGAGATGACAGAGAGCCATCTAGAACGAATCCTGAATTTAGACGTCTATCCTTATCAGCTGTGAAAATGTGTTTATTAAAGGCTCCCACTTGCAGTCTTGCTGTTCCAGCAGCACTGAGAAACCAAGATACGCACTCTAGATAAAGACCTCAAGCTCCTACCCTTTCAAAGATAGCAGTGGCACAAATCTGCCGTTGTTGTGTGTACCATCAAGTCAGAACTGGCAGTCAGCTGCACGGGAGTTGATTGCCCATCTTTCTCCTGTGGAGCAACTGGTGGGTTTGAACCATGTGCCTTTGGCTTGACAGCTCAGTTCCTTCCCACTACGCCACCAGAGCTCCCCCAAAGTAGAAAGGGATGATTTCTTTTGGCAACCCCTGAGGAAGGACATCAGAGAGGATCAGCAAGAGAGGGAAACCTTTCCTGAGAAAGGCTGACACCGTGGCTGCACGGTGGGGCCAGCGCCGGGACGTGAGGGCAGCAGGTCGGGCAGGGCTCCATTCTGCACTTGGCCTCGCTGTGCCTGAGAGCTGGCTCAGTCGCACCTAACAACAGTGACAGCAGCTTCTGCTTATACCACTATGATTTTTGCTTGATAAAGGAATATCATTGCTGTTGTCACATAGAATGAAGAG